TGAAGCAGGCTTCGCTGTGCCCTCCACGCCCACTCCAACCCTCCCCGGAAGCTCCACAGAACCACTGATGTCTGTGACCCCAAACACTTCTAGGTGTTGCATGTGCTGCGCCCCACGTCTGGACTAACCTGACCCTGGGTATCCAAAGCGTAATACAGCCTCACTACCCAAAGTTGGCCTCTACCATTCTACCAAAAGCCCATCGGGTCACCTCATTTGGAAAACTATCCCTGACCATCCACAGCCCGATTCAGGCTTCCGCTTTGCAGTTCCCAGTCCATTTCATACCCTCAGTTTCTGCCAGGGTACACGTGGTCGGAAGACTTAATTTCTGATGAATCGACGACATGGCAGCAGCAACGCTCGAGTTCCAAGGGCATACTTTGCTGATCCCCGGAGACCCTAACTGTGGAACCATGGAAGTCTCGCCAGGGAGCCCAGGCGCTCCGCAAAGGGCATGGAGGCCCGCCATTGTCACTATTGTTCCCCACTGGCTCAGGAGCAGCTCGGAACCCTCAGGCAGCAAGCGACAGGGTGACAGAGGGTTGACTGGGGTGAAGGGCAGGAGACCGCCTGTGGACGCTGCCGCTCTCTCCAGGCCGCCGGCCACCCGCGCGTGCCCGGGCGCCGCGCTCCAGCCGTTTGAATCTCCCGCCGCGTGGCAGGGCGCGCGCCCGGAGCGCGGCTGCTAAGGGGCTGCGCGGCCCGTGCGCGGGCGAGGCGGGGCCCACGCGGGCCGAAGCTCGCGCGCCCGCAGCGCCGACGGCTTCACGTGCAGCCCGCCCCGCACTACGCTATGCGGATGGCGACCTCGGCCCAACGCAGCCCCGCGCGCCTCCCCGGTTTCCGTTCCCCGGGCTCCCCGCGAACCGGAGATCGACCTACCTCGGTACCGCGCGGCCACAAGCAACTCCAGCACTCGGCAGCCGGCGGCGGCGAGCTGCCCCGAGCATGCGCTCTGCGGGCCTCCGGCCGCGACCCTGACTAAAAAGGAAAACAAAGAGCCGGGCGGCCCCTGGTGGCCAGCGCGGGAAGTGCGACAGGGTGCTCCCAGTTTGTACCCACTACATTGTTTATTTGGGAGACCTCAAAAGTGGGAAAAAATGGAGTGACAACAGGTCAGAGAGACTACTACAGTCTTGGTTTGTTTGGGGAAACCTGGTGTGTGGGCTCTGTACGGAGCAAAACAAGGTTGATGGTACTTGTTCCCAAAGTGCCCATGCAGAGGGCTGAAAAATCCAGCTATTACCTATACAGGGCGGACTGATTCAGCCTGGGAAGAGCTCAGGAACAGTTTTGTTTTTTTGAGACAGGGTTTGTGTATCTCTGACTGTCCTCGAACTCGCTCTGCAGATCAGACTGTCCTGAAACTCACAGAGATCCTCCTGCCTATGGCTCCCTAGTGCTGGCAAGGGAGCACCCCCAGGCTAGGAATGGCTTTCTAGTAAAGTTTAAGTGGGAAAAGCATTCAGGAAGGATAACATTTGCTTATTTATCTCATGTATGTCTGTGAACCTTGTGTTTACCATGCCTGCAAAGGCCAGAAAGAGGGTGCCTAATGCTCCAGAGTTACAAATGGTTATGTCCCGCTATGTAGGCCCTGGGAATGGAATTTCCAATTTCTGCAACAGCAATGAGCGCTCTTAACCTCTGCACTGTCTCTCCAGTCCCAGAAGGGTAACATTTGCAAAGACGGAGGGTAAAATGTGTGAAACTGCTGTATACCCTGTAGAGGGTAAGTTACTATGGGAGGGTTGATATGATCAGAACTTGGTTAGGGGTCCAGGCAACAGCATTTGGGAGGCAGAGGCAGGTGAATCTCTGTGAGTTTGAGACCAACCTGGTCTACAAGAGCTAGTTCCAGGACAGGCTCTAAAGCCACAGAGAAACCCTGTCTCGAAAAACCAACCCACCCCCCCAAAAAAGGATGGATTGGGCGGGGAAGTTGAAGAGATCAAAGAGATGGATGACTTCACTGGTTCACTGGCTGCTCTTCTAGAGGACCCAGGTTCAATTGGCTCACAACCATCTGTAATAAGGTGTGGTACTCTGTTTATACCCAGAACACTGGGTATAAAATGTTTGGTACAGTGGAACCAAGGAGAGTAAGATAAAGTCTGGATTGCTGGCACTGCTTATGTTTATAATCCCATCTTTCCAGAGGCTGAGGCAGGAGGGGCAGTAAATTCCAGACCAGGTGGGATGCAGTTAGTCTCTCCCAGGAATGAATGAATGAATGAATGAATGAATGGGGAGGGGTCTCTATGGATACAGCTCAGTCATTTGTTGAGGGCTTGGCCTAAGTGTGAGGTCCAAGGTTCAGCTCCCAGATGATGAAGGGAAGGTGGGAGGACATAAGGCTGGGAAACAAAAAGATGACTCAGGGCTGGGAATTACTGAAGTTTAAAATGCCCTCTCAACAACATCCTCACACCAGCAGCCCTGTGGGACTTAGTTGTCCCTGAAGTGATGTTTGGGACATTTGATTTTGTATGGCCCTCCTATTGAGGGCAGTTACCACTACAAACAGTATTTTCTGTGTTTCACATTAATTCTGACTCCAGAAGTCATTGTGTTTTAAATTTTTCTTTATGTTTATTTTTGGTTGTAGGCCTAAGCCCACAGGGCTAAGCCATCCCTCCAGCCCTGTTTATTTTTGAGAGGGTCTCAGTCTCACTATAGACACCAGGCTGGCCTTAAAACTCAAGAGAACCACCTGCCTCTGCCTCCCTAGAGCTAGGAGTAATGGTTCAGTTATTTTTAAGATGGTATCTTTCTTAAGGAGCAAGATCAGCACCTGAATAAAAAAACAAAACAACAGCAAAAACCCAGCAAAAGTAGGGCTCACAGCTAGCTCAGGGAGAGGACCCTCACCTGTCAACTCTTCTTATATTTTGAAGTGTGTGTACATGTGTGCTAGTGAACGCCTGTGGAGTCCAGAGGATGACATTCAGGAGTTAAATTACCACTTTCTATTGTGTGGGTCCCAGAGAGCAAAGTCAAGTCTTCAGACATGGCAGCAGGAACCTTTACCAAGTGAGCCATCATCTCTGGGTGATTATTTGCCAACTGCATTTCCCGTTATGTAATGTCAGCCCCAGAGCAATCCCCTAATTTTGTCATTTTGTCTTACCTTTTCAGGTTTACCTCTGCCTCCATCATGACCTCCTCTCTTAGGAGATAAACTGTGAAGTTTCTCCAAGCTTCACCCTGGAAATGATGGTCTTTCTGTAGCCTTTCTCCAAGATCTTACTCACTCACATGGCTTTATGTAATCACAGAAAAATGATCATCACTTATCTCATATTAAAAACATGTTTTATTGTTTTGTTCTGGAACTCAAGTAGCCAGGCTGTCTCCAAACTCCTAACCCTCCTGCTTTAGCCTACTAGTGCTAAGATTATAGGGGTATGCCACCAACCCTCTGACCCTAAAACCCATCTTTTAAAAAATCTATTTTTATGCATTTTATGTGGGCTATCAGCATGTACCAGAAAAGGCATCAGATGTTATAGATGGTTATGAGCCACCATGTGGTTGCTGGGAATTGAACTTAAGACTTCTAGAAGAGCAGTCAGTGCTCTTATAGCTGACTCATCTCTCCAGCCAACTATTTTTAATTATGTTGCATGTGGGGTTGTGCATGTGAGTGCAGTGCGTACAGATTGCAGAAGAGAGTACTGGAACAAGTTACAGGCAGCTGCTGGATGTGGGTGCCAAGAACCAAACTCCTGAACTCTGGAAGAGCAACTCTTAACACGGTACCACCTCCCACTTAGATATAAAGCCTTCCTATGTGCTCATCTGCTCACAAAAAACCTGAGGTAGAAAATGAGGTTAAAATTATTGCTCTTGGAGAACCTGGGTTGGACTCCCAGTACCCACAAAGTAGCTCATAACCATCTGTAACTACAGTTCCTGGGGATCCCATGTTCTATTCTGACAGCTGTGCATGATAGTCATAGTGGGGTTGGGAACTGACTTGTATTTAGGATTGAGCTATCCTATTTCAGTGTTGAGACTTGAACCCAGACCTCACACATGCCATCATACTCGTTGCATGGATGTGACTCTGGTCATCTTGGCTGACTGAAACAGTGCTCTTTCCACCGACCAGGAGCTATATTCCCAGCACTGTACTACACTCATTAAGCAGTAATGGTCATTTGCAGAACACATTCACGAGCATCAATGATGGGATAGGCATTATCTGTTAGTTTCCAAGAGAAAACTAATGACAACTGAGGTTTGTTTCCACTAAAACATTGTGGGAGGCTGGCAATTAACTTTTGAATAAGGGTATTTGCCTATGGGATGGGTTCAACCCCCAGCACAGGGGTAGAACTATGCAAGTGGGAGGCAGAAGTGGTTTTGTCAATTCTGCCATCAGCTCAAGCCTGGCAATGCACAGAAACAAGAGCAGTTTCTGCTGTACCTGGAAACCAAGGAATACGGTGCCTGCCCAGGCCTCACTACAGGGAAATTATGGCCAGGGGCACTGTATTTTCCCACCTTCACTGTGGGATTGAGTGATGGATGGCTCCACTACCCGTGAGCTTTTGTCAGCTATTCCACTTAGGCAAGGATAGTTATGTTACATGCAAACCTAACGGCAGCCGCACACCACTGCAGCTATTGACCCAACCCTCACACCCACTTCCAGAAAACCCAGCAGGGCTATGTACCAGAATCCTCAAGGCCTACCTTCTCCCATCATTCAGGGTTTTGACTTTACCAAGGGTGAGGGCAGGGAATGCAGTCAAGACTTCCCATTATGACCTAGCCACTATCTCCACTACACATCATAAGGCCAGTCCTTGGTTAAGCTGAACCCTCCAAATACTGCTCACTCACTGGACCAGACCTAATGGTCACCACCAGAAAAAGGAATTAATTCTCAACCTTTGGATGCATCAAACCCACTCAAGGTTTACAAGACCAACCAGAAACCATCCACAGTTCATACATGTACTGATAAAGTAAGTCGAAAAGAAAATAGACGAAATGAAAATCTTTTAATTCATACAAATGTTAACAGTTTTGTAATGCATATCACATTTATAGAATAGAATCAAGTACTTTAACAGTCTGGCCTTGAATCAAGTATAATCTTAGTGATTTATGTTATGGGGAAAGGAATATCCTAGGTAATTACTATACACCAATAAGGTCTCATCCATATATATACACACATACATTTACTAGACTGAGATCAGCTAGGTAGGGGTGCTTGCCTGGCTGAGCCCCTAATATAGACAACTTTGCCTAATTACTTATAGTTCCAAGATCATAAAGTTAACCTCCATCAAGGAGCCGTGCAAATCCTCTTCTTCCCTGAAAAAAAAAAAAAAAAAATAAGAGATCAGATTCCCAAAGACGTAAGTCTGAAAGCCTAAGCCCCTCAGCCTTTTGTTTCCTGCATGGTTTGTCTCCCCAGTCACGGTCCACAGGACTCTGAGAAGTTGTAGGAATATGCAGGCGCAGACCCGAAAGCCCAGCTTCATCTCCAACGTTGTGGAATGGGACTGTACATCATGGGGCAGGGCCCTATGCTCCCCTACGCCACTGGGACAGAGCCCGGGGAAAGTGACCTCCCGGGGTATCCACGTTGGCAAGAATGTCCTGCTACTGCAGAATGAGTCACCACCCCCAAACACAGAAGTTTCCAAATCCCACAAATGACATACAGATAATGGCTAATACGGTAAGTTCAGTTTTCAAATGAAAAGATGGGAGTCAACGTACCTCAACAAAGAAGTTCCTTGTAACCACAGATCAGTTCTGCAAGGGAAGGCATTCTTCAGTAAGTCTCTCTAAATCGATTTCTCAGACATGCAGACCCCCAGATTTCGTGATTTAAAACTGTTTCCTGCATGGTTTGTCTCCCCAGTCACGGTCCACAGGACTCTGGGAAGTTGTAGGAATATGCAGGCGCAGACCCGAAAGCCCAGCTTCATCTCCAACGTTGTGGAAAGGGACTGTACATCACGGGGCAGGGCCCTATGCTCCCCTACGCCACTGGGACAGAGCCCGGGGAGAGTGACCTCCCGGGGTATCCACGTTGGATAGTCACCGTAAAGACTTTGACAAAGGGCATGACTGCATAGCCTTGCCTGACCTCCATCTAGGAGAAGCCTCCGATTCCAGAGTGACGGCACATAAGCTTGAGCCACCATGGATGACCTCCAAACGGGGAGGAATAATACAAAGCTGAGAAACGAGGCGCAACCATCTTAAAACTCAGCCCACGAGAACCGCTGTCTACAGTAGTCACGTGGCACATTTACCAGGAAAAGAAAGCGTTTCTCTGCCTAACATCCCTGTCTGTTCTGGAACATTTTACAGACCAGGCTGGCCTCACACTCAGATCCACCTGCCCCCAGTGCTCATTAAACACGTGCACCACCACCGCCCAGCAAAGCTTCCCTTGGTCAGCGCTAACTTTAAAATTAAGAAAAAGCGGAGGCACTCTCATTAGGAGTTTGCCGGGAAAAAAAGAAATCACTGACTGAAAAAAGAAAACGCCCGTTCGGGGTTGAGAGGGAGTCAGTCACGTGTGCACCAAGAAGCCGGATTAAGAGCGTGAACCCCGGCTGCCCACGCGGAGTCTGCGCACAGCAACGCCTCCTTCCCACGCAAAGCCTGGGTGCCGAACTTCGCCAGTGAAGCCACGGCAGAAGAGGATGAAACGCAAGAGCAACTCACCAGCCGACAAACACAGCACAGAAGCAACTTCTCAAAAGACCGAGAAGGACCGAGACGGCCATATTTATACCTCACGAAACTCCGGAAATCAGGCACTGCAGAGTGCGCCTGCGCAGCAACATGAACTGGGAAACACGCTAAGGCTGATGGGAGCTTCTTACGGTTGAGCTCCACCTCTTTCGGGATTGGAGCTCTCTGGTACTTCCAGTACAGGCTCCAAAGCTACAGAGAAACCCTGTCTAAAAAGCCATTAAATAAATAAATAAAGCCACACACACACACACGAAATCAAAAGATTGGGGAGGGAGAAGGAATAAATAGCAATTAAATAAAGGAGCGTCCACCGGAGCAGAGAGAGGGAAGTAAAAATCTTGGAAAGAGAAATGGATGTTAGTATGAAAGTGACAGATGACACCAAAAGGCCCAAGTTGCCAACTGACGTAGGCTGCCTTCCCCTTCACGCTTTTCAGGAATGGAATTGAATTGAACCTTGACCACAAGTACAATCTGTTGATGGCCCGCCCTTGAATTATGTTAATACAGTAGAGGTTTTACATATTTATGTTTATTCTGTCTGTGCAGACAAAAGGCACAGGGGTGTAGGGGTGGAGAGGAGCCTTGGTCCTGCCTCAACTAGAAGATGGGACGGATGTAGTCGACTTCCTAGGGGAGGCCTTACCCTCTCTCTGGAGCAGATGGGAGGAGGAAGGGAGAACTGGGATTGGAATGTAAAAAATAAATTATATTGGAAAAAAAAGAAGGCACTGGGCAAGTACTCCTGAGGCAGAGACAGGCAGAACTCAGTGAATTCAAGGCCAGCATGGTCTACAAAGCCAGTTCTAGAACATAGAGAAAACCTATCTGGAAAAGACACACACACACACACACACACACACACACACCAAACCAAACACTCAACAACAACCAAAAAACAACCCACAAAAGGTAAAGTGCAGAGATGGCTCAGAGGCTGATAGCATGGACTGCTCTTTCAGATAATCCTTGAGTTCAATTCCCAGCAACCACCTGGTGACTCACAACCATCGATAATGAGATCTGGTGCCCTCTTCTGGCCTGCAGGCAGAAGGCTGTATACATAATTAAAAAAAGCTTATTATGAAATACTTTTGATTTCATTTTCACATCTTAAAATCTAGGTAACATCACTAGTGGTTTTAAGCAGGTTTGGTTTTTGTACATTCTCATCTTTTATAAAGATCTGCCTTTATTATTATTATTATTGGACGCATGTATGATGTGTGTGTGTGTGGAAATGCTCCTGCTACGGGGTGTGTGGAGGTTAAGATCAGTTCTGTGGAGGTGGGGCTCTCCTTCCACCTTCCCGTGTATTTCTGGGATCCAACTCTGTTCATTAGCCTTGGTGGCAAGTGTTTTCACCCATGAGCCATCTTGCTGGCCCTAGCCCTCTCCTTTCTGATTCACTCTCCATCCACAAAGAACCAACATTCATCCACTGTTCAGGGAACACTGGGCAGTGCGTACCTTCAGAACCACCTCTGGGGACAAAGCTGCAGTAGCAACTGGAGACCTGATCATTTAGGCCACAGCAATCCGGGAGCAAAAACCTCCAGAAACTTGTTCTGACTCACTCTTAGGAAGGGGTGATGGGCTAAGTGACAAGTAAAATGTGAGTCATTGCTAAGGTGCCCTGGGCTGAAACTGGGCTGCTTGCCAGAAAGGAAGGCAGCATCAGCTGCTGTTTTGTGACATCAGCCTGAGGTTCAGTTAGCCGTGGTCCATGTCGAGTCAATCCTTATAAGGTAGACTGAGTGGGTTGCAAGTCCTTGTCCTCAAACATACACAAAAATGGTGCTTGCTTTGACCTAAAAAGCCCAACATTTACACTCACATTTTCCAGTCATGGGAGGGAGGGGGGCAGGAGGAAGTGGCTAGGAAGGATGGGCACCTAGTGAAATCCGTGGCACATAAAGGCTCAGCAAATTTTCTTTAAAAAAAAAAAAATTGATACAGAGGATCATATACCCCAATCCACCCCAGGCTGGCTGGCCTAGAATTTGCTGTACTACTCAGTGTAAGCACCACAGCTGAGGGTAGCTGCCTCTGCTCAGGTCAGAAACAGCAGAGAAGTGAGCAGAAAGCGGGGCTTATATAGAGGTTCTTGGAGAGGGGGAGGAGCTGGAACTTTTCAGGGCAAAGTTTTCCAGGGGTGGAGATTGGTGGTTTTTCAAGTCCGGAGAATGGGCTTTTTACTCTGTAGGGTGGGGCAGACCCAGCTGTGCAGGCAGTTAGTATCCGGTGGGTGGAACCAGGCAGGTGGAGGTCCTCAGGGGAGGGGCCTGGCCACTTGTGTAGCTTGAGGAGCTTACAGGAAAGATGACCTTGAACTTCTCATCTTTCTGCCTTGGCCTCAGAAGTGTTGGGACACACTTTGCCTTGTTTTATGATGTGGGATTGAACTCAGGACTTGGTGCACACTAGACAAGTACTCCACTGACTGAGCTACACCCCCAACCCTGTGACTTTTGTTTATGAAGAGAAATACACAAACATGACAGATTCTCACTTCTGGCTACATTTAACATAATCATTTGCCTTCTTCATTCAAAGTCATTAGCAGTATATTTCATCATTTCCCCCCATGGGACAGGGTTTCTCTATGTATCTCTGGATGTCCTGGAACTCACCTTGTAGACCATGCTGGCCTGGAAGTCAGAGATCTACCTGCCTCAACTTCCCAAGTACTGGGATTTGGGTATAATTTTTAAGTTGTTTTAATCTTCAGGAATAAAGTAAAACAAAACGGGCTGGAGAGATGGCTCAGAGGTTAAGAGCACTGACTGCTCTTCCAGAGGTCCTGAGTTCAATTCCTAGCACCCACATATATACACAGACATACACACACACACACAGGCAAAACACCAATAAAAAATAAAGAGAAATAAATTAAAAAATAAGTAAAACAAAATAAAACACACGTCGGGGATGTGGCTTGGCAGTAGAGTAATAGGTCCTTAGCTCAACAGACAGCACTAAAAAATAAACAAATCCAGTTTTTGTTGAATATTCTAAAATACTTTAATAATTATGACTGGTAGGAAGACTGATATACAATGTAATTATTTATTTTACACGATTCTGTACATTAGGGAAGCATCTTGACATATAATATGCTAGGCTTTTACTCCTTTACATAATGATTGTGACTTCAAATTACAGAAAGAAAACACAAAGTCAACTTTTATATACACTAAAACAGAAACCAGTGACTAGATGTTGCCCTAATACATGTTTCAGAAGACGAATGAGATGAACAGTGAATCCCAGCCCTTGGTGGCACACAGGAGCAGACAGGCAGCTCAGGCTTGGCACGGTGAGGGAAAGGAGCAGTGAAGAGCTGTTTTGCTGTCAGGCGTGGTAGGGCACACCTGTAACCCTTGTACTTGGGAGGTTGAGGCAGGGGCATCAGAAGGTCAAGGGCTTCATTGGTCACACAGTTGAGTTTGAGGACAGCTTGGGCTACATGAGACGATATCTAATAAAACAGAAAATGTCAGCCACAGAGAGTGTAGACATATGCAAAGCACTCTCCAACAGGAATCAGGGCTGGGGCCATATCAGTGGCAGACAGCACTGGTCTACTTTGTGAGAACTTCAGTTAAATCCTGAGCACAATGAACAAAATGCCATCACAAAGGAGAATGGCGAATGATCAGGTTAGCGGTTCCAGCAACCTTGGATCTAGACTTCTAATAAATTAGAACTGTCAGTGTTTTTTTCCCTCCTTAACCCAAGTCTTAACAAGCTTTGAGGTGATGGGGAGTCAGTCTTGTTTCCACAGCCAGAGACTACCTGGCAGGAACAAGGAAAAACCACCTTTTCCTCCATAGAGAAGGAAGTACTATTTTTAAGGTCACTTTAGATTTTGTTTGCCCTATAGTCTAAGTCTTTATTAAATGTGATGTTAACAAGGAGAAAATTGCTGAAGGAACACAAACAGGAAACAGAACAAAGCAGAAAAAAAAAAAAACAAAACACTTAAACAGTCACAGTTTCCTAAACATTAAGGTGAGTAAGAACTGGGTACTCCTGTTGACGAATATGATCCCAGGTGAGGAAGGCTGGGAGGAAGAGATCTCAAGCCTAAGGCTACCTTAGCTACTTACTGTAAAACAAAACAAAAAGAAAAAGAAAAGAGAAAAACTAGGATGTATTTCTTTCCCACAGACAATGTAAATAGCAATCGGGAGCGAACAGTGAGGCTGTGTGGGTTTGAAGAGAAATTCTTTGAGGTACGTAACTAGATCTGCTTTAGGAAAACGTGCTTACATCACAAATACAGACGGGGCCTGATCCAAAAACTTAGGCACCAACCACACTGGCTACAGCCTGGAATCAGAAAGGCAAGAAAGGTGAATGCTGCCAGGGAGGAGAGCAAGAGGGTTGCTGGAGTTAAAAGGGCCAACAGCACCGGAAGGGCTCTGGCTGGAAGCACGGGCACCAACAGCACACAAATGCTCCCACAGGGTGCGACACCCACTGGCGGAGGTGACTTACAGTATCATTTGGTACAAGGAACATATAATAGTCTGTGGAGTTTAACCCATGAGTCAGTTCTCGGCCAAATTGGCATGAATATTAAGGCCTTTTTCTTCGTTTGTATATAGAAACTGCACATGACATTCTCCTTTGAACAGCCTGATTACAGCTCAGGCTGTTTAATGAATACATTTCCATCATTTCTTTAAGATCACTTTAAAATATGGACCAGGATGAAAGCCAAGCATGAATGCTCATGCTTGTAATCCTAGCATTTGGGAGGCTGAGACAGGAGTTTGAGGCCAGCCTGAGCCACAGTTAAAGATCTTGTCTCAAAACAAAAAGAAAGGAGGGACAGGTCAGACACCGAGCTTTCTGTCGGGCCTTACAGCCATGATCTAGGAGAGATAGTGCAATCTTTCATCTGCCATGCCAGGGAGGTCCAAGTACTTCTTCTGGAAGTGGGAGCCCCTTTACTAGAAAGGTAGTGCCTCCAGGTTTTTTTCTGGCAAGAGGATTTGATGGCTGGAAGTAACACCTACATGAGTGGACCATACAAACAAGGCAGGTGGGTAAGGCTAAATGGCACAAACTGCCTCAGCACAGGCAGTTAGTTGTCTTGGGGCAGAATGTGCCTTCAAGCAGAACCTTCAAGTGCAGGAGCTTGGGTGGCTGGTGAGAGGAAAGCCTTCAAGCCCACTGCAGTGTTGTTAAAAGGTTAAAAAGCATCAGGCATTTCATCCTTCTCTAAGGGCAGCACAGGAGAATCTGTCCCAGTGAAAGGCTACATTCATAGAAGTGCTATTCACCCCTGAACCAGATCCCAGAGTAGCTCTGGCTGTGTGGGGAGTGCTACGGTCGCCTTGGAGACAAGCAACAGAACAGCTCTGCTTTTCCAATGATCCGTTAGTCCTTTTTCACACTTCAGCATCATGGGCGATGATAGCTGGAAGGGTCAAAGAGGGACAAATTACCAGACAACACAGATGGCTTTCCTGTTCTTGAAATTTGTTTGGGAAAAATGAAAAGGATTTTTTGTTGATCACACAAATATCTACACGTCAAGTGGTGCTAAGGGCTGACCCAGGGCCTTGTGCATGGTCCGCCCCACCACTAAGTTAAACCTCCAGCTCTTCACTGCTCTCTTACTACTATCTTGTAGCTGGAAAGGTGGCACTACTTCCAGCACTTGGGAGTTTGAAGCAGGAGGACTGCTTTGAGTTCCAGGCTAGCTTGAGCTACAGTGTGATATCCTGTCTCAAAAGACAAAAAAAAGACGATAAGCTCCCAAAAGGAAGACGGGTCAGACCTGTGCTGGTCACTCTGCAGACAGGTGGGAAAACAGCTGCTTGTTAGGAGACAGTAAACAAAGCAGGAATAACATCTCCTGGGTTTGTCCCATAGAAGGAAACACAACAGAACAAAAAAAAAAAAAAAAAAAAAAAAAAGGATTTTCCTCCTTAAGGACCTACTATCTTGTGTGTCGGTGTCTGAGAGGGATGCTTGCTGTCTAGACTCCAGGCATCTCCATCTCGGTATGCCACAGGTACACCAGCCTTAAATGTCTGCAGGTTATTTCCCAGTCACCCTTCTTCTGTACAAGGGCTTGTAGAAACCCAAGGCTCTGTCCTCATTCCCTGCTGCAACCAAAAGATCCAGAGTTGTATGTCTGTGTTTTAAGTGCTCAGTGAACACTTGTTAAATAAACTTACTGTCTCATAGACTTCAATATACATACACCAGCACACCCAGTTTAAGCATATTGGGGATGGAACCCACGGCTTCTCTCTCTCTCTCTCTCTCTCTCTCTTTTTTTTTTTTTTTTTTTTTTTTTTTGAGAGGCAAGATTTCTGTCCTGGAACTCTCTCTGTAGACCAGGCTGACCTCAAACTCAGAGATCCATCTGCCTCTGCCTCCTGAGTGCTGGGATTAAAGGCCACCACCACCTGGTGTATTATTCTATTTTTAATGTGTGTGTAGTGTGAGTACAGGCCCACATACACTACACTGGACACATGGGAGTCAGATCACAGCCTAGGGTATCAGTCACTGTCTTATCTTGTTTGAGTCACGGTCTGTTGTTCACTGCTATGTACACCAGGCTAGCCCATGGACTTCTGAGGACTGGCCTATCTCTGCTTTCCATCTCACTGTGGTCCCTGGAATGATAGATACTCATAGCTGCAAGTTGCTTTACATGGGTTCTGGGGATCCAAAACCATCTTTACACTTTCATAGCACTCTGCTCACCCACAGAGCCGTCACTCTGGGCCCACTGACTTTGTTTCTAATATAAGGTCTAGGAGTTTAGGTTGGCCTTGAACTCCTGATCCTTCTGGTGCCACATTCCAAGAGCTGCAATCATAAATGTGTGCCACTGTGCCTGGCTTTCTAAATCAGCAGAGTTCCTTCTATCTGAACAACTTGGTTATGTTTTTCTGTTGGGGAAATTTTACTTAGCTACAAATATTTGGACCTTTTGAGTCTTACCGTGTGAAATGTTTGCTGTCTTCATGAACCTCCATCTCTGAGCTTTTAAATTCATTTAATTCTTTTCTTATGGCAGCCTGTAGGACAGAAATAAGATTTAAGCATCTTATTTAAGCCATGTGACTTGCCGTGTTATTTCTAATGGGCTTACTGCTAGAAGGAACCACAAGTCTTAGGTGCAGCTCAGAGGGAAGAAAAAAGCCAGGTCAAGAGAGCCGGTGCAGCTAAGCCAGACACACAGTACTCTCCTTGATACCACTAAGCTTCATGCAAACCAGAAGGGCTCAAGTTAAGTGAATAGAAAGACTGTACAGCCTTGGTAGTTTCCACAGCACATTAAACTAGAGTATAGAAGTGAAATAAATACAATTATTCAAATACAGCACCAAATCTCCTCCAATTGCTGCTGTTAAAGATACAGGGGATTTTTATTTTTTAGAAGCTTTTTATATAGGCATTGTTTTTTTTTTTGTTTTGTTTTGTTTTGTTTTGACTGCATGTATGTCTTTGTGAGGGTACCAGATCCTCTGGAACTGGAATTATACACAGTTGTGGGTGCTGGGAGTTGAACCCAGGTTCTCTGTAACAGCAACTGGTGCTCTTAACCACTGAGCCATCACTCCAGCTGCAGGGAATAAAGGTGTGCACTACCATCACTCAGCAATACAGCTGTTTTCTTAATGTTTAATATAAAACTTGGGATTACATTTTGGCATTTTGTACCTTGCTTTGAAATTTATCATCCCATGAAAGCTAGAAGCTTTGCTGCCGCCTATTTTTGTCATCAGTAACTGGGTTCCTTCAGAGAAAGAAGTGCAGAACATACTGGGTGTACGCCGTGCTCTGCAAGTCACTCTCTTTCTGTTACCTCTATGCTTAAATCTATGTTTAAAAGCTCTCTTAATAAACCCTAAGTATGTTTCAAAATAAAACCATAGAAAAGAGAAGAGGGAGAATCTAGGAGAATATGTGAGCATTTTTGAGTTACCTTGTCAGCAGGAGTCAGTTTGGTCCACGGTTTATCTGCTCGCCGGTCATAATCCTGAGCATCTGTTACCTCCACATACTCATTAAACCTCAGAATCTTCCTGGCAAGTAGTTCAGCCACAGTTGGCCTTTGACTGAGCTGAAAGAAAGAAAGACAGTCATGCATTCAAATTACCTTTACCATTCACTGAAACTGGAGTTACACGGGGGGAGGGGGGAGTTTTCTTTCTTTCTTTTAAATTTATTCAGTTTTTTGAGATAGGGTTACTCTGTGTAGCCCTGGATGTCCTGGAATTCACTCTGTAGACCAGGCTGGCCATGAACTCAGAGATTCACCTGCCTGTGCCTCCTGAGTGCTGGGATGAAAGGCACGCACCACTACCATCTGTGTTTTTTTCTTTTGAGACAGGATCTTACACTGTAACTCAGGCACCAGATCACCAGATCTCATTAAAGATGGTTGTGAGCCACAGTATGGTAGTTGGGATTTGAACTCAGGACTTCTGTAAGAGCAGCCAGTGTTCTTAACCTCTAAGCCATTCCTCTAGTCCCAGGAAATTAGATTTAAGGCTATACAATTAGGTCACCTTAAAAGTTAAAAGGCAGGACTGGGAATGGCTTCTAATCAGTAAGGATAATTCCTCCATTCCTGGAGAGGGATAGAATAATTCCAGAAAGAATATCTACATTTCCACTGTTCTGGGATTTTTAGGTTTTTTCTTTTTCAAGACAGGGTTTGTCTGTGTAGCCTTGGCTGTCCTGGAACTCACTCTGTGGACCAGGTTAGCCTTGAACTAAGTGATCCAGCTGCCTCTGCCTCCCTAGTGCTAGAACTAAATGTACTGCAGCAGTATGCCTGGCAATTTTTATGATTTTAAGAAGCATCCAAAGAGCCAAGAGCAAATCAGAATTTGCAGGAGGCAATCACAAACATAGCAGAGAATGGAAAAGAAAAAAGACAACTCCAGTGCCAACATTGGCCCAGTGCAGAAAAGGTGATATCCCAACTGATCTTGACAAGGGAGAAAAATCATGTTTTTTATTTTCCAGGTCTCAGGATTATTTCTATTATTATTATTATTATTATTATTATTATTTTGATTAGAAAACAACCAGTTTGGGCTGGCGAGATGGCTCAGCCATTAGGAGCACTCACAGCCCTTCCAGAGGTCCTGAGTTCAATTCCTAGCAACCACATGGTGGCTCACAACCATCTGTAATGAGATCTGGTGACCTCTTCTGGCCTGCAGGGATACATCCAGACAGAACACTGTATACATTAAAAATAATAAAAACAACAGCAGCAGCAAAAAAACCCCCAAGAACCAGTTTGCGCTTTGCAAAACAGAATGTTACAAATTCTATTATTGTTTTTATAAACCAATAAAATTTTTAGTAGAACACTAGAATGCACAAAGACCTTTTTTTATTCCCAGCCCTACAAAAAAAAAAAAAAAAAAAAAAAAACCAATCTCCCCAGACAAATAAGAAATGTATCATGTATCAACCTCTCTCAAGTATTAAAAACAAACCAAAATGCCACTCCTGCTAATGTGGCCCGGTTTTCTATGTATATGTGCTCTTTTCATTGATCCAAAACACAGGTAAAACTCATTCATTCCAATCACATAGGTCATCCAAATACAAGGATACCATACCTTCCTAGTGAGCCGACGCTTAATCTCCCGTTTCTCTGCTTGGCGATCAGCTTCATTTTTAGCTTCAGTTGACAGAAATAAAGGACATTACTTCAAAATGACAATTTGTACAGCAAACATTTTAGTAATTATAATGCATATATTTCTTAGAACTGGAAGCTAGAATGAAATACTCCATTTGTGAATCAAGAACCTTTTCCTAGCAAGGCAATCTTTTCCTGTCCACTGTATAGTCAAGTACTTAAGAGCAAGACAGAAAAACCAGGGCACTGCATCAGGCTTAAGCTAAGCATGCTTTTTACTTTCTTTGTTAGTGACAGGCTTTTTCTGTTATCAGTCCTGGCTGTCCTGGAACTAGCTCTGTAGATCAGGCTGGTCTCAAACTCACAGAGATCCACCTGCATCTGCCTCCCAAGTGCTGGGATCAAAGGCATTAGACATCACTGCTCAGCAACTTTTTCACATTTTTAAATGCTTTCCAGCTACCCAGTTTTTCACATGCTTAAAGATCTACAGAGCTGTATGGCTGGAGAAAAGGCTCAGTGGTTAAGAGCACTAGCAAAACACATATAAGTAAAACAGTAAATTACATATAAAAAGAATGCATGCTGCTCTTGCAGAGGCCCCATGTTTAGTTCCCAGCACCCATACTGGGTGGCTCCCAACTGCCTGTGACTCTGACTTCAGGGGATCTGAGGCCACTGGCCTCAGGGGACACCTCCACTCATGTCCATGTGCATACATATATGCAATTAAAAAATAGGCAACTGATACTGCACCCTGTCAAGGGTGGTATCTAAAAGGGGACAAGGCTGTGAATATAGATCCAAACCACTGAGAAAATAGGTAATGGAATGGTCAGATGGCACGCTCAGCAGCAGCTCCTGGAGACTCTGCCATTTCGCTGCAGAAATAGTACTACTTTCATTCATCCCACTGCCTCTTATGTCTTTCCACTCTACCACAGACACCCATCCTCCATCTCTGTATCCTTTTTCCTCCTCACCACTGCATGCCTCCACATCTACATACACACGTGGGGATGAAATAAATAAGAGCTGCTTAGTGCTTTTCACTCTCCGAGGGGCAAACAAGACTTTGGGCACAGCCAGAGGAATGGCATTTGAGATACAGGGACACAGGGTATCCCAGGGCATGGCTGGTCCTTCTCCTAGGGGCTCAGCTAGGTTCCTCACTAAGGTGGGTACTTCCAAGGTACAAGTGTAGTCTCCAGGGTTCCAGATCACTGAGAGCAAAGGGTGAGAATGCAGTCTGTGAGAAGAGGGACTAACATGGTTTGGGGTGGGAAGCAGAAGGGAGACCTGGAGTGGAAAGACCTACCTGGGACTATTCCCGGTGATTTAAACTGGGAGGGAAATAAGCAGAAGAGGCTGCAGAGCATCAGTCTAGAACAACAATGAGATAGAAGTGGGAAGCAGGACTGCCTTCTGTCCTCAGGAGTTCCAGACTCCAGGAGAGGAAGGGGAGGAGCTACAGAGCACATATTCTGAGTCAAAAACTCTGGCAAAAAGGGCTGCAGAGATGGTTCAGTGGTTAAGAGCACTCACTGGCTGCTCTTCCAGAAGACCTAGATTCAATTCCCAGCACCCACATGACAGCTCACAACTGTCTACGAATGCCAGTTCCAGGGAATCTGACACCCTCACACAGACATAAATGTCACAGAGTTAACTATGCACATGGACAGGAAGTTAAATATGTGTTCCTATTTGGTGACTGCAGAAATATAAGTCAAAAAATAAAAGCAGAAGGAAAACCATGAACCAGGGGGTTGTTTTGGGGCTTATCCTTTGGATACACTAGGAACAGGAATGTCCTATCCATTAGCTCACCCATTACCTTGGTTCCCTAAACAACGAATGCATGCACACACTGTCATATTGTTACAAATGCCAACACAGAACCAGGATGCTATGAAAACATTGAAACAAAACTTTCTGGCATTATCACAGTGCCCTAAACAATCCAGGAAGCCAGGCTTCTGGAGCAGGAACTAACTCTCCTTGGCCCTTTTAGCAAATACTTCTGTTCTAATGCATATCACACTCATGGTACACAAAGCCCCGGGCTTCATTCATCTGGACTCACGCTGTAGAATATTCCGTTGCTCCAGTTCTTCTGCTGTTGGTCTTTGACTCAGTCGCCTACAACAGAGAGACACAGGGTACTTAACTGTCCAGCAAGCCTCCAATTACTGCTTTTAAGAATTTGGAGTTTTGTTTGTTTTTATTCTTTGCCAAGATTTATAGTGACCTATAACAAAGAAATTGGTAAAACCTTTCTCTTCCTCTCCCTCCTTCCTTCCTTCCCCAGGGCTTCTCTGTTAGTTGTGGGGCCTGTCCTGGAACTCACAGAGATCTGCCTGTCTCTGCCTCCCGATTGCTGATATTAAAGGCACGAGCCACCAAGGAAGGCTCAGTGAAATCAGTAAAATTTCTAACATATGCTTCAGTAGCTCATTTGTTTATCAAGAACCCAGTTTGGCACGGGATGTGCTAACTAACATACACACAATATTATGCTAAATGTGGTAGCTTACACCTTGAGGCCAGTACCTGAGGGTAGATGCATAAGGTTAATTAGATCCTGCCTTAAATCAGAAAGGTGGGCAAAATCAGAAAGGTGGGCAAATGTGGAGGTAGTTTGGCAGTTAAAAGCTCTGGCTGTACTACCAGAGAACCCAGGTTTGATTCCAAGTACTCATGTGACAGCTCAAAACTGACTGGAACTACAGTTTCAGAGGATCTGATTTCATCTTCTGAATTTTGGGGCACTGTACACATATAGTTACATACAGCCAAAACACACATATACATTAAAAAGAAGAAAAGGACTTTAAAACAAACAAAAAGAATCCTTGTCAGGAGTGATGGTGGCGCATGCCTTTAATACCAGCACTCAGGAGGCAGAAGCATTCAGATCTCTATGGATTCCAGGACAGCCTGGTCTACAAAAAGAAACAAACCCTGTCTCATTAAAAAAAAAAAAAAAAAAAAAAAAAAAAGGCGTTCATAATCTCATAAACCTTGTGTGTCTCTGGTGGTTCTGGGTTCTGTTTATCTGATTATTGGTGATAGTGAACCTTTTTTTTTTTTCCCCTCTCTTTTTTTCTTTTTAGTTTTTTGAGACAGCGTTTTCTCTGTGTAACAGCTCTGAGCTGTCCTAGAACTAGCTGTGTAGATCAGGCTGGCCTTGAACTGCCTCTGCCTTCCAAGTGCCATGATTAAAGGCACGGACCACTCTAACCCTAACCCTGAACCCTAACCTTAACCCTTTTGTTTTGAAGCAGGATCTCACTGTGTATCCCTGACTGTCATAGAACTTATTATGTAGACCAGGCTAGTCTCAAAGTCAAAGATCCACAGCAAAACTTTCACAAAACAACAAAAGAGTTTACATTATAATCCCAAAAAGTTTACCAGTGAGAACATTGGTGGAAACAAATATTTTCCTGGCTTTCAAAGTGGCCTCATGATCTGTAGTATGAACAAGAAATACAAACCAGGTCCCACCCTGAAGCAAAAACTCTGGGTGGAACTCAACAATTTGCTTTTTAAACAAGCCTGGCAGGTAAGTTAAGCTTGCCAAATGAATGCTTAAGTGTGAGAACCACTGACTAGAATTAATTAAAGGAACAAAAAAAAAAAAAAAAAAAAAAAAAAAAAAATCGTTGGTAAACACCACCTAACAGAGTTATGACTCAATTAATTGTATAAATTCAGTGGAGTAACACACAGTGATCATTGGTACTAAGGACAAAGACTATATATTTGGTTGCTGCTGGTGGTGGAAGCTTTTAATCTTAGCACTCAGGAGGCAGAGGTAAGTGGAACCCTGAAAGATGAGAAGGGCCCCAAGAGATGACTCAGCAGTTAAAAGCACAGACCTCTTGTAGGGGACCCAAGTTTGATTCACAGAATCCACATAAAATGGCCCACAACTGTAACTCCAGTTCCAGGGGAACTGAGGGCACTTCACTCATACATACACACACATGTATACATACATATGTACATGTAAACACACACACACACACAATTATTAAACCTTTAGAATAAAATGGCTAAGCACAATTTTCAGATTAAAGCAGACTAAAGAGACAGGGCAACTAGGTATCACATATTAATAACTCAAGACTGGAAATTAAACCTGGGAGCATAAAACCCTGCTTTTAAAAATATTATGGGTTAATCGGGCGGTGGTGGTGGTGGTGGTGGTGGTGGTGGTGGTGCAGCACACCTTTAATCCCAGCACTCGGAGGCAGAGGCAGGCAGATCTCTGAGTTTGAAGCCAGCCTGGTCAGGACTTCCAGCACTACACAGAGAAACACTGTCTTGAAAACCAAAACAAAACAATTATAGGGTGAGGGTAGTATATACCAATAATTCTAATACTTAGGAAGTGGAGCAGGAGAATGAGGACACCAAGGCCCTTCTCAGGTACACCGTTTGAGACTAGCTTGGAATATATGAGACTCTGTCTCAAAAATAAGTAAATACATATAAATAAGTAAGTAAAGTTAAATATAGATAATATACTAGATAAAAATTGATACTAGGTAGGCAGATCTCAGTGAGTTTGAGGCCAGCCTGGTCTCCAAGAGCAAAGTTCCAGGACAGCCTCGAAAGCCACAGAGAAACCATGTCTGGAAAAACCAAAAACCAAACACAAAAACAAACAAAACCAAAAAACAACTAAAAAATAAAACAGCAACAACAAAACGCAAGTGTGATGAGTTAGGTAGGTTGGCATTTCATGGTTCAGCAACAGGATAAGTCACACAGGAATCTGCATGTTCTGGGAACCAGCCTGACTTCTTCAGCAACCTTTGCAGAACTTCCTGACCCAGGGCCCTCTGTGAGGTTCCCCAACCTCCTAAAGCTTAGAGGAAGGAACTCCATCTGTCTCACTACATTGTTAGGAATTATTCTTTTTAAAAGACAGATGAATGCTTCACTTTCAAGGGTCTGACACACACAAACCCAAATGCAAAGGCCTACCGAATCAGCGTGTTCCCAATCTGGTGCCGTATTTCATTCCACTCCTCCTTGCTTTTACGAGGCCAAGAATTCAGGTTCAACTCTGGTTCACTGGGCCTGCTACTCAGCTTCATTGCCAGCGTGTCTTTCCTCTTCACTTTGTTGGCCAGAGCACCTTTACACAGGGAAAAAATGCTGAAGCACAAAGGCACTGGCTCATGGGAACCAGACAAGAGAATGAGAACACAACTCCCAGGTCCCAGTTGGCTTCACTTGACCCAGCTGGACACAGAGGAAGGGTCAACATAAGACATTTAGAGATATTTTAGGCAAAATGGAATCGATAAGGATACCTTCTCTCTGCCATCAGCCCTCTACATCTTCATCATTTGGTGAGTTTTTTTTTTTTTTTTTTTTTTTTTTTTTTATGTGTGAGGGTGTTGGGTTCCTTGGAACTGGAGTTAGAAACAGTTGTGAGCTGTTATGTGGGTGCTGGGAATTGAACCGGGGTCCTCCGGAAGAGGACCCACTGAGCTATCACTCCAGCCACCTTATTCTTTTGCTTATTTATCTTATTTTATTTAGTTAGTTTTGTTTTGTTCTTCAAGAAAGGGTTTCTCTGTGTAACAGCCCTGGCTATCCTGGAACTCGTTCCATAGACCAAGCTGACCAGGAACTCACAAAGTTCTGCCTACCTCTGCCTCCTGAGTGCTGGGATTAAAGGCGTGCACCACCACCACCACCACCACCACCACCACCCTAAAAGTGAGAATAGATTTGGAATCTAGTCTGCTCTGGGGCAGTCCTCTGATTTAAAAAAATGAAAGTTTTTAAATTAATAGATCTTATAATGTGGACAACATTATTTTGAGAGAGAATCTTGCTGTGTTGCCAGGCTACTATCAAACTCCCAAGTTCACCGATCTTCTCACCTCTAGCCATTAGCAGCTAGACTAGAGCCAGCTGGTAATTCTTCTCCCAACCTTGCTTTCTGGGCTGTTTAGAGACAGGGTTTCATGTAGCTAAGGTTACCACACTCCCCAACTAATGTAATCCTTCTAGCTTAGTCTCTCAAATTCTATGATTATATATGGGAACCACCTCGCCCAGGAAAACACACTTTTTAGTATGGGTTATCAAGAAGTTCATTATATTAAAGAAAAATAATTTATCTCTTTAAGTATTTCTTTTAAGATTTTATTTTTAATGATGTATGTGTGTTTATGTCTGTGTGGAGGTATATGCACTTGAGGCCACAGGTGTTCGATCCCATGGAGCTATAGTTACACATGGTTGTGAACTACTCAACATGGGTGCTGGGATCCAACTTTGGTCCTCTCCAAGGAGCATCCAGTCTTTTGTTTATTTGTTTTTGTTTTTTTGAGACAGGGTTTCTTTTTTTTTTTTTTCAGTTTGCATCATAAATTTTATTCCCGATGCGGGACAGATTATTTTCATTCCCCCCAAATGTATCACATGTTGCCCTGGATAGGTCTAGGAAGCTCTCCCCCCATTTCCAGGGAAGGGAGAGAAAAGTAGGGACCAGGAAAGTTTCACAGTTCCCAGCTTTCTTAACCCTCCCTTCTCAACAGAGGATAGTTTTTCCCGCCTATTATCCCTTTCATCCATTCAATTCAAAAGAAAAACAGAATTAACAAAACACCTGGTCAGGGGTCACCAATGGGAACAGGAGGAGGGGAAGAGGGGCAACACTGTTTCTGCTGAAGGGCTTCCTTCCTTGCTGCATCCTGTAGCAGCTGTGTGTCCGCCTAGTCTGCTGGCAGCTGCACATAGCGGACCACTGAGCCCCTGATGAAAGCAGTTCTTGACTGACAACATGTGAGGGTACTTCTCAGGGTCTGTGACACTGATGTCAGTGAGTTTGATATTGAGGTACTGGTCCACAGAGTGGAGGGTTCCACAGATGCTTAGGTCATTCTTGAGTTACACGACCACATCCTTGCCCACAAGGTTTTTGAAAAAGGAGTAGAAGAGCATGGTGCCGGCGACACGTGCAGCGGCCTGGACCGTGGCGGATAGGGCCCAGGGCTGCTGGTCAGAGGCCGGGCGGGAGCCGGAGCCCACGCAGGACAGGATCACGAAGGCGCAAGGGGGAGCCACGGGAAACGCCCGGCCGGCCGAGAGCGCGGGCTCGGTGGGAGCCGAGGAGGGAAGAGCAGGCAGGGCTGCGAAACCGAGGGTTTCTTTGTAGTGCTTTGGAGCCTGTCCTGGAACTCTCTCTGTAGACCAGGCTGGCCTCGAACTCACAGAGATCTATCTGTCTGCCTGTCCCTCCTAAATGCTGGGATTAAAGGCATGTGCCACCAATGCCTGCCCTGAGTAGTATCCATTCTTAATTGCTAAGCCAGCTCTCAAGTATCTCACCTAACTTTTCAATGTAACCTTTATACCGGTTTTTCTCTATAATTCTTAGTCTCCATCATCAAGGTGAATAGTTTCGGTTTGTTGTTTTTTATTTCTGTACTGAGGACTGAATCCAGGCTCTGTGCTTAGCACAGGTTCTACAACTGAACTAGATCTCTGAACTAGATCTCTGGTCTCTCAGTGGCCAGATCTAAAATACAAGCCAAGAATCTGAATGATAACGGCCTTCACTTTTAATCCTAAAACTAAGGCAGAGGCAAGTAGATGTCTGTGAGTTCAAGGCTACTCTGATCTACACAGTGAATTCTAGGCTAACCAGGGCTACACAGTTAAGACTTTGTCTCAAAAATAAATAAAAAATAAATCCAAATGACTAGGTCAAAGTGGCTTCTTCTCATGGTGTCCTTTAACAAAGGCCTGGTAAAGGGGGGCGGGGGGAGTCCTTCATACCAGCTTCCAACAGCCAGAGGATTCCATGGAACAGGCACCTGTTTGCACTTTTGCTGGGTATCTAGCTCACTGATAGAGGGTTTGCCTAGCATGCGTGGCGCACAGTTCCCAGCAGCACACACAAAAGGACTTTCTTTTACACTTTCCCCTCCCTTTCTTACTCTGATGGCTTTCATCTTCATCATCTTCATCTTCTTCATCTCGATACTGAATGGGGCCCTCTGAATCTGAGTCACTTTCCTTTTCCTCCTCCTGCAGACACTGCGGCAGCTTAGGAGTGACTGAGGTAGATGTCATGTCTTCAGCAAATGCCAATGGGCAGGACTGTTCTTCTTCCTCGTCATCTGGACTAGCAAGCAAACATAAGTATATGGCTTTGTTTTTTCAGAAACAATGAGGCTTTTCAAAAAGACCAAAACACACAAAAAGTTCATTAGTGGAAAATCACATAACTCCCTGTCTTAACATTAACATTCTTCCCAAGAAGCTTTTTATGATTCATGAATCTAAAAAGCACTGGGTTCAAATCCCAGGCCGTTTCTTAGTAGACATTGACACATTTCAGAATTTGCCCCACTTCATTCACGAAAGCCTTCAGAGTAGACACTACCCCACTTAGATTTGAGATACTCAAAAACAGAGAGGTTGAGTGACATGCCAGGAATTGGCTAGATGTGGGCAAAAGCTCTTACGCACCATGTAATACATGTGTATCATGTAAAACTTATAGTGCTAATGTTCATATCTACAAATAGGTAATTTTGGTGTGGACACAGAAATCAACATAAAAATCCATTATAAAAAAAAAAAACAACTTGTAGTTTAGAGAAATAAGTAAGGTAAAAAAAGCCGTTTCTAGAACTGACACTCTTGGCAGAGTGTTCCTTGACCTTTAATTTACCCACATTTCCTGAAGGATGCTTCCAGGGCGGGGCTATCTATGTTAAGCACAGAAACAGGAGGCAGGCAGTGAACACTCACACTTTGAGCATTTCAATCGTGACAGGAAGTGACCTGGTCCGACCCAGGGTACCGCTGTCCTCAGAGAAGCTGTCACTGTTCTCAAACAGCAGGGAATGAGCTCTGTGAGCGCCTTCCAGCGGAGGGGTCATGGGAAGGGGGCTAGTAAGGGCCTGCTGAATTCGGATATGCAGTGGCAGTGGAGGCAGCCTGGAGGGTATATGGGGCTCCCCAAAGCTCTGGTCTTGTACCTTCTTGGGGACTTCCTTTTTCTGATCTTCCTGCTGGGAAATGTCCTGGGGTACATCTAAAGGAAGGGAAAACTCAACTTCTGGAACAATTTGAAAGGTCTTAGCAGGGAATGGCGGGGACCTTGGGGGCTCTGGAGGTGTATGGGTAGGCAGTGGAGGGGAGGGGGAGGAAGGCGGGATCAGCAGTGGTTCCGAACACACACAGACAGTTTTTTCTCTTTGATCACTTGCTGTTTTTGTTGTGGGTAAAGCAGCAGGCTCTGAGGTGGGTCCCACGGTTAAAGGAATGCCTCTCTTGGGTGGTAAGGGTGGGGATGGTTTCGACAACAGTGTACCACTGTTAATTGCTTGGGACAGTTCAGCTGGAAAGAAGAGAGCAGCACTTTGTTAGCATGGCCTTACAATGGACCGAAGACCTAAGTCAGAGCTGAGGTCAGAACTAACATTTCAAGCAAATTATGCAACTTTGTGGCTTTGTCATTCCTGAAACAAAATTAGTATTTATTCAGATAGAAGATCTAATGAGTAGAGCTGTAAGAATGTCAATCTGATGATTAGCATTTAATTAGTGTGGTGATAGATATGACAACTCTGAGCTGATGGAATAAACAGAATAGACTCAGGGAAAAAAACTTATTAAAAAGATGTTTGGGAGGGGTGTGTGACGAACACCTTTAATTCCAGCACTTAGGAGGCAGAGGCAGGCAGATCTCTGTGAGTTCAAGGCCAGCCTGGTCTACAGAGCAAGTTCCAGGACAGGCTCCAAAGCTACAGAGAAACCCTGTCTCAAAAAACAAAACAAAACAAAACAAAAAGCTTTTAAATTGCTTGGCAGTGGTGACACATGCCTTTAATCCTAGCACTCTTGAGGCAGAGATAGCCAGATCTTTGTGAGTCTGAGGCCAGCCTGGTCTATAGAGCTTGTTCTAGGACAGCCAAACCTACCAAAGAAACCCTGTCTTGAAAAAACAAACGACTTGGGGGAACTGTTTCTCTTTTTCCACTATGTAAGTCATGAGGACCAAACTGATGTTGCCAAGCTTGGTGGCAAATACCTTTATCACTGACCGTTTCATTCTCCAGTACCACTTGAGTATCACCTTTTTTTTTTCCTACCAGAAGGGAAACTAGAAGTCAGACACTAGGTAACTTGTCCCAGATCAGACTGCAGACAAGCATGGCCTTTAGCTGGTATTCAACCTGGTCATTAGATTGCTACTCTACCCTCTGCTCCCCATCGCCTTTATTAATGAACACACCCTTTATGGCCCTTTGTACGCCCATGTTCACTTTGCATTACACTCTGGGTTTGATGGCAGGACAACTCTTGCCTCCATCAGCACGTTCACAGGGACACACATAGTGTGCCCTCAATACATGTTTAAGAGATGCTCTTACTCTGTATCATGACAGCATATATCCCTACTGATCTTTCCAAAGCCCACATGATTCAGATATTGACCTATGTAAGAAGCAGGCCATCACATCATATGGAAGCTAGCCTGTGAACCAATTAAAGCGGCCTTCTTTTGACGAGCAACCTCTAATGGTCTATCTGAATCTTTTATTTCAGTCTATCCAATGTTCTCACAGAGTCTATAAATTTTCCCAAATAAAATGTTACTTGTAAAAAAAAAAAAAAAAAGTTACTTGTACTTAATCTCATTCCATGCATACAGAGTAAAGTATGAGCTAGCCTTAAACTTGTAATCATAATCCTCTTATGACAGAAATGGCAATTTTTGAATCAAAGCATTAGGAAGGTCATTAATTTCAGAATAAGATCAAATCTTTCAATCATATCTATTTAATTTTAATAAAATCTCTGATCTACTTTTCTTCTGTGAAGACCTGTCATGGAATAATGTTGATTCTTAGGTCACAAGAACTACTGAGATATCAATTAAAGCCACTGTAGACACTTCTAGTTGGTTTGTTTTTGTTTTTATAAAAGTTCTCAGGTTGCCCAAGCTATTCTTGAACTTATTATGTAGCCAAGAATGACTTTAAACTCCTCCCTCCCCACTACTGAGATGACAGGTGTGCAGCACCACAGCTGGTTAGTTGTTGTTATTATTATTATTATTAATATTAATATTGGTTATTCAGGACAGGGTTTCTCTGTATTGCTTTGGAGCCTGTCCAGGATCTCTGTCAGTAGATCAGGCTGGCCTCGAACTCAGAGAGACTCGCCTACCTCTGTCTCCTAAATCCTGGGATTAAAGGCGTGAGCACACCACCCAGCTGCCAGTTAGTTATTTTATGTGTTGCCATAACTTAGAAATAGCACCAGCCCTGACCAGGAGCACATGGCATGGTCCCAGGACTAGCAGCATGAACATCCTCTGCCAATTCATAGAAATGGAGACCCACAGGCCCTAGGCTAGGTTACTGACATCATAACCTCTGGAATCAGTGTCCCCTCATCCATGAGGGCCTTCTAGGTGAACTCAATTAACTGCCATCTAGATGACAGCTTGAGAACCACAGTGTAGAGATCACAGGTGAGTTTCTGTCCCACATTAGCTACAACTTTGTGAGTCACAACATCTGCACTTCTAATTGCTTTTGCATATAATAGATACAATTACTCGCTACAGCCCAAGGTGGTTTTGAAAGTCCATGTGAAAGTTCCCCAGGTTCCCCAGAGCTAAGTCAGGACGTCACCCATTAACTAGGCGATATCATCACGATCTTCATCCTGTTCCTACTGTGCTACTCCAACCTGTCTGTCCCAGTCGCTCTTGAAGTTTGATAAGGTTCTAGTCACTCCACCCAGCTGAGTAACTAATTAGAGTCTTAGTGAGTATTCTTTTTTATTCTTTATCTGTGCAATCATTAACAAGAACTTCAAGCGAGAGTAAGCCTAATACTGTTCTTCCTTAAAAAAATTACACTTTCACTAGCTCTGAAACACTTATCAGTAACAGTTTATCCTTTTTCCTCCCTTTCTGGAAAATTCATGTACGAAGTACAATTATAATGGGAAAATAGATGCAAGGAACACTTTACGAAAATGCAAAGTTACTAAGCCTATAAATAAATATATACTGATACACTTTGCTGCTCAATTTAGAGCAGTCCTGAGGGTTGATATCAGGGCCTATCACATGCTAGGCCAGCATTCCACGTACGTGTACACACACACACACACACACACACACACACAAACCAGTTGTATCCCTTGCCCTCACTGTTCTTTAACATTCTGAGATAGGACCTCACTAAGTTCAAGACTGGCTATGAAGGCCTTGAATTTGCAATCCTAAGTAGTTGAGATCATAGGCCTGTTCTAGCAAGCCTGGATTCCTTTGCCATCATTATTTACAAAAAAAATATTGTATCAATATATCTATCTATCTATCTAATTTTGAGACAGGATCTAATCTATCTGTCTGTCTGTCTGTCCACCTCCCTACCTACCTACCTTTGAGACAGGGTTCATAGACTCCGAGCTGGAACTTGCTATGCAGACCAGGACAGCCTCAACTTTGGCAAATTCCTATTTCTATTTCCTCAGTTTACAGCCTGTTACCACACCTGGCAAGAGTAGCATTTTAACTCTCCCCAGGATTAAACATGATGTTATCAGTACAACTCAAATACTCTGTAGTTCCCATGAAGAGAATATACTGGACATTTGACAAAACCATCATTTTAGCTACTAGACTTACATTTAAAGTAGGCAATGGTAGTTTAAAGTAGATGAGACATTCACCTTGCCCCTTGTAAAGTGTGCCATTATTCTAATTTTCTCAGTGAGATCAAAGCTATTTCCATGATGGTCAAGTTTGGCTTTGCCTCTAATATCCAGTCCATCAACTATATGTCATGGATTTTTGTCATTGCTGTTTTTGTTTTTTAGATGATATCCTTGAGTCCTAATTCTCCTGCCTCTGCCACCTCAGCACTTCCCAGTGTCACCAACGCCTAGTTCTAGGGGATATTCCTTTTGGTGGGCTTTTTTTTTGGGGGGGGTTTGGGGGTTTTTTTTGTTGTTGTTTTGTTTCATTTTTTGAGACAGGGTTTCTCTGTATAATAGCTCTGGTTGTCCTGGAACTCATTGTAGACCAGGCTGGCCTTGAACTCACAGAGATCTATCTGCCTCTGCCTCCCAAATTCAGGGATTAAAGGCATGCACCACCACCACCTGGCTCTAAAACTTTCTGTATATTGAGAATATTCAAAGAGATGAGTTAGAAAACCCTTTCACAGAGCAAATCAATAATCTAGTAGTCATTCAATAAAATCATTACACAAAACATAAGCAAACCCCAAACACACAATCTTAAGACTTACCAATGACAGGGTTGCTGTTTCTGTGAGCTGGTTTAGGGGGTGGGATAGGGGGTTGCTTGGCAGGGGCGGTATGAATAAAACTCAGGGTAGCAGTAGTGTTAGTGCTGGCAGGAGCAGCAGGCAGAGTCCTGGGGGCCGGGGCAGGGATGACAAAGGAATTAACAGTCTTTGTCACGTTCGTGGCAGCAGCGGTGGCAGCAGTGGTGACGGCAGGAGAGCCAGTAGAGGAGATGGACCTCGATGCACTGGCAGACACGGCCGCCTCCTTTGCTTGCCCTTCGCTTGCTTCGTAAGAAGAGGATGAGAGCCTTTTTGGGGGGAACAAATGCTGCTTAGGTACATGCTCAGGAGCAGACTCTGCTTCAGAGTTAGGCTGGCTGCCAGTTGAGCCTGTGCAATAAAAGACATGATGTAAAAAGGAGGAGACTGAAAATGCGAACACATTTACAACCAACTTCATCGATGAATTTACAGATTTTCCAGCTACCTTTGATGTGCTTAGGGAGTGTGCATAAGAGAGGCTCAGTAAGGGTAGTGATGGTTCATACAAAAGCCTACCTCCAAGGACATATCAGGTAAATGCCTGCCATACAAGCATGAGGAACAAGTTCAGATCTCTACTGTTGTAGGATACTTTGATTATACTCAGATGATCCTGAGGCTGACAAAATTTGTTTTAAATCAGAGGGTGGAGTTAGCTACTAGCTGACCAAATTAACCATAGAGGTTTCAGGGAACTAAGGACAGACAGACACAGGAAGTAGTAGGGTCGAGATTATAGAGGGTCTAGACCCTTCTGGATGGAGGAATGAAAGAGATAGACAGTCACTGGTTACTTCTCTGATCATTCAGGTTCTTACTCTGATACATGACTCCTGAGTTTTTATTGATAAGGAATAATTAGATAAACACATCACTCCACATTTACATTACAAAATAAAAGCAAGGTTCTAATCCTAGTGCTGTGCTGGGAGTGGAATAGAGACAAGGTCACTGGAGCTTACTGGCCGTCCATTCTAGCCAAGCATCGATTTCTAGGTTCAGTAAGAGATGCTGTCTCAAAATAAATAAATACCCTGGGTGGCAGTGGCGCACGCCTTTAATACCAGCACTCGGGAGACAGAGGCCGGCAGCCTGGTCCATACATAGAGACAATCTCAAAACAAACAGAAAAAAAGAAAGGGGTAGGGAAAGAATCATAAATTTAGGAATTTGAGGAAAGGCTGGGAGTAACAAGGGGAGAAGACTGCAGTTTCTCAAGAACTCGAACCCCGCCCCCAACGGACATCTCTTACAACTCTCTAAGGGAAATGAGAGCAGGGTGGCTTCCAAACCCACAAACCCACTTTTACCTAGTCTCCTCTTTGAATCCTCTTCTGGAATAAGATTCCGAAGACTTGATATCCTCACTGGCTCTTCTTCCACTAGGACTGGACTAGAAGACCTGGCACTCCCTATGGGGGCGGTGTGGCCATTCTTTAATGTGGCATGGCTCAGCTTTCCTGGATCCTCACCACCTGCAAGAAGAAAGAGAAGAGTGCAAGGTGATGGACCTGGCATGGCCAGATGGGATGAACGGATGGTTTCTAACCTCTCTTACCGCCTTCTCTCTAATAAATAGGGTTCTTACCGAAATGTGCGTTATTTGGAGCCTCGTAGTATTAACAGAGGTACACAGTTCCTCTTCCAAAAGGTAAGTAATTGCCAACTACATCAAGTAACTTGCTGCATAAATAATCTATCATACATACATGTTACAGTGTTAAGGTGGGGGGGGGGATATAGCTCAGTGGTAGAATACGTACCGACACCAGTATTGAGGAGGAATTGTGACAGAAAGGCTATGGTAAAAACAAAGAAAACTCCATTCTTCTGGGGTGGGAAAGGTGTTGGGGAAGCACCACACAAAGTGGTAGCTTCTGAAAGAGGAGCAGAAGCCTACCACATCAATGAAAGATAGTCTATTTAAATTAAAACAATAGGTAGGAGGGGCTAGAAAGATAGCTCAGTGGTTAAGAGCACATTCTGCTCTTGCAGAGGACCTGAGTTCAGTTCCCAGTATCCATGCTAGGCAGCTCACAACAACCAGTAACTACAGATCCAGGGGATTTTACACATCTGACATCTGCAGACATCTGCACTCATACACACCCTCCCCCCCCCCAACACAGAAACTCCAGACACATACACATAACTTAAAAATAAGTCTTTTTAAAAAGCAATAGTATATATAAAGGCATAAAGTTATGAGCAGGGACTAGCAATGAGTGCAATATGGTAGAGACCAGGTATTCATGGTGATGAGTTATGAGTAGGACTGTAAAGGCAAGCAGGGGCCAGGCTATAAAGGCTATTAAACACACATAAAGACGCTAGATATAAATCCTGGATGAAACCAAAGCTCAAGCATTAGAAGGAGCAGGAAGGTTTAATGTTATCTATCTTGTAGAAGGTTGGCTCTGAAAGCTGTTAGAAGGAAGGGTAATAGATAGGCAAACTGAACAGGAAAAACAAGAAAAACCACTGTTTTAATGCACCTGAAAAATCAGCAGAGGGTGACTGAGGGTGGAGAGCCTAGGGGTGTGAAGGGCAGTGATTCCTTACACACTAAACTACAAGACGGCCATTAGCATGGAGATGGTGGGAATCCCTGTGGTTACTACACACTGCTACGGAAAAGGAAAGTGAGATCCTTTCATGGAGCAATTAGACAAACATCCCCAGTGCCTGAAGTTTTCCTAGACTTATTTAGAAGACCAAGCTGAAAAATAGTGAGGTCAGGGACTAGAGAGATAACTCAGTGGTTAGAATAGTGGCTCCTCTAACAGAGGATCTGAGTTCAATTCCTAGCCCTCACATGGCAGCTCACAACTGTCTGTAATTCCAGTTCCAGATGGATACAATATACTCTTCTGGTCTCCTAGGGCACCAGGTATGCCCATGGTGCACAGACATACATTTAAGCAAACACCCATATACATATTAAAGAAATATAATTATGTTTGAAAGGGTTGTGTGTGTGTGTGTGTGTGTGTGTGTGTGTGTGTGTGTGTGTTATGAGCACTGGCTGTTCTTCCAGAGGTCCTGAGTTCAATTCCCAGCAACCATGTAGTGGCTCACAACTATCTATAGTGAGATCTTGTGCCCTCTTCTGGCAAGTAGGCACACATACAGGCAGAACACTGTATATATAATCAATAAATCTTGAGAAAGAGAGAGAGAGAGAGAGAGAGAGAATGAATGGCAGTGAGGTCAGAGACCCATGGTCTCACTTCCGTGTCACAGGACAGTGTGAGTGTCCTTCCTTGCTTCCCACAGTAATGCTTAGAGAAACATCATCTAAAGATCTGTTTTATTTTTATTTGTGTGTACACACACATATGCTCATTTCTTGATATTTTTAGAATTAGTCCAGAGTTCTTACAGACCAGCTCCTCCCACCTAACACATCACTGCCCACTAAGAGATTAGATGGTGTCCTTCAAGCATGTTCATGTAAGCAGTGGGGTTTGGACTAGAAATATTGAAAAAAAAAAAAAGGCAAGTAATAAAATGTCCCTACAAAGCTAAAGAAACCGTAAAGCATTTTTATTTATTTAGTTGTTTTGTGGCAAGAGCTGATACACAGCCTAGACTAGCCTTGCCTTGAACTGGATCGAGGTGGCTCTGTCTCCTAGTGTTGTTGGATTACAGGTGTGACATACCAAACCTTGGTATATTTTTATTAAATTAATTAATCAGTTGAATATTAAACTAGCTTTTCCAGACAGAGTCTTACTATGTATCCATTTCTATATATACCAGGCTGCTTTTGAATCTAGTACTCCTCCTGACTCCACCTCCTGAGATTATAGGTATGTACCACTATGCCATCACTGTGTATCTCTGGCTGGTCTAATCACTGTAGATCAGGCTGCCCTAGAACTCACAGGGATCTGCTTGCCTCTGACTTCCAAGTGCTAGAACTAAAGGTGTGTGCCACCATCTCTGGCTTTTAATTTATTTTTTAAAATTATTACATTTATTTATGGATGTGTGCATGGGTATGTATGTGTCATGGAGCACATACTGAGATCATAAGACAACTGTGGCTATCAATTCTCTGTAGGAACCTTTACTTGCTGAGCCATCTCTCTAGCTATGTACCTTTAATTTTATTATTTATTTGTTTGCTTGTTTTGTTTTTTGAGACAAGGGTTTCTCTGGGTATCTCTGCTGTCTTAGAACTCATTCTATAGAACAGGCTGACCTCGAACTCAGGTCCACCTTCATCTGCCTCCACCTGCTCTGCTGGAATTAAAGGCGGGCACCACCACCACCTGGCTAATTTTTAAACTCTTTTGCTGTTGGTTTTTAAGTATATTAGTGTTTTGATGGGAGATGTCATTCTGTAAATATGTTTCTCATGCTGGTTAATGAATAAAGCACTGTTGACCAATAGGAAAGCAAGACAGGTGGGACTAGGAGACAAGGAGGATTCGAGGAAGTAGTCAGGAGGAGTCAACATGGAGAGACCGGGGAGACCAAACACCTGCCCCACTCCCTGGTAGGTGAAACCACGTGGAAATACATAGAAATGGGTTAATACTTAAGACAGAGCTAGCCGATAAGAAACAAGTACCTGGCCAACAGCATTATATCAAATACAGAGTCTCTGTGTATTATTTGGGGCTGGCGCGGCAGCGGGACAAGACCAACAGCAGGCAGAAAAACCATACTCCTTACAGTGTTTTGTTTGCATGTATGCACGCATGCATACCACATGCTTGCCTGGTGCCAGGGAAGCCAGAAGAGGGTGCTAGATCACCTGGAACTAGAGTTACAGGTGGCTGTGAGATACTATGAGGGTACTTGGAATCGAATCCAGGTCATGTGTAAGAGCAGCCAGCTCTTACCACTGAGCCAGCTTCTTATTTTCAGGAGAGGAAGGGAACAAGATGGCAATTCGACAAAAGTAGTAAATTGTTCTGAATATGAAACTAAAGAGAAACTAAATAAATTAAGTACAATACTATGTTTTCCATTTATAATCCACTGCTTCATAACCTACAAGTCAGTCTCGACATCAAAACTAGCAATGGGCCCTGAAATGTCAATGAACGATCAGTGCAAGATGAACATGGAGGCAGTTTGGTCAAAATTACCAACAGGCAATCTGAAATAGCTGTCACCACTGCAGGTGACAAGTTGGAGGAAGACACACATGGAATCTTTGCTCCCAGGACCCTTCACCAGTCATTCTATTTCATAGCTTAAGAGTGAAGCCAGACACCTGGGAAGAAATGGCGAATCGTTTTTTAAAGTGGTCCTCCACCATAACTACAGGAAGAGTAAAGCAAAAGACGGAAATTCAAAGACCTAGTGAGACCCAGCCAAAGACCACATGTACGGAGACAGCATGTGCTGATGGTTTGGAACTCACCCTGCTCGGGGTCTTCCAACAGAACCCCTCTTTTAACCAGTTCTTCTCTTGGTTTTCGCATAGATATTTTTCGCTCTAAAACTAACATTAAATTGGAAAACAGAACTCAGAAATGTGGCAGTTAGGTCAACTTAACTCTTAGCTTTATAAGTATAACAGAATAAAGCAGTTCACATTTCTTGTATTCTTAAGGAAAAGGAGGACATTTAAAAATGTAGCTGAGGGTGGTTCCACATGTCTATAATCCTAGCACTGGGGAGGTGGAGGCAGGAGGATCAGTTCCAGGACTGCCTCAGCTACATAGTAAGTTCTAGACTGCCTCAAACAAAACAAAAATCACCATTTGAGAGGAAGACGCTGAGGAATACTGTTGAGTTTGAGGACAGTCTATGCTACACAGTTCTAGGCCATTGAAGTCATGGCAAAGCTCTGACCAAAACAAAACAAAATCAATCGCTGGGGCTGGGAATTAGATCAAAGGTAGTGATTGCCTAGCATGTTCAAGGCCCTGGGCTCCACACCTAGAATTAGATATAAAAAACAAACAACGAAGCATCTTCATTTATCTTATTACCTGTGCTGGGAAAATATCACTTCTCAAAGGAGCCATATTCACATCGAGAAGTGGGCTAAGCGAAAAGAACCCCTTAGATCTGCTACAGCACAGGTGCTCCAGAGTCTCACTGTATTCCCATCCAGTCCTTTCTTTTTGGTTTTTCAAGACAGGGTTTCTCTGTGTAGCTTTGTTGACCAGGCAGGCCTGGAACTCACTGAGATCTTCCTGGTTCTGCCTCCCAAGTGCCAGGATTAAAGGTGTGCGCCACCACCACCCAGCCAGTCCTTTCATTTTCATATTTACTTTTGAGAGAAGGTCTTACAGTGCAGCTCTGACTGGCAAAGAACTCGCTATGTAGCCCAGGCTAGTCCCATATTCATGGTAATCCTCACACTTCTGCCTCTCGAGTACTCAACAGATTTAATCCCATCAAAATACAAACCTGAGAATGAGGCTACAGAATATAAGTATCAGCCAGGCTTCCTCAAACAGGCCTGTAAATTTCAATTATTCCAAAGGCTGAGGCAGTACGATTGTCATGGTTAATTCAAGGCAGTCTGTGCAATATAGTGAGAACCTGCATCAAAAAACTGATGTGGGGGAGGAGGGCTGGAGAGATGGTTCAGTGGGTAACAGTACTTGTGCTAAGCTTAACAGGAGTTTGACTCCTGGCATCCACATGGAGGAAGGAGATAACAGACTTTGCAAATTGTATTAGGCTTCCCCTTGTGCTGTGATCTGACCCAACAAACAAACAAACAAACAGTAGTTTAAAAAACACCTAGACACCATGGCCCACACCATAGCACTTGGGAGGCTGAGGCAGGATAAGCGCTATAAATGAGGCCATCCCAGGCAAGAAAATGAGTAACTGCCCAATTGAAGTCCTGCCTTAAACAAAGCAAAACAAAACCACCAAACAAAAAAGATGGCTGAGACTGTAGGTCAGTGGTAGAGCACTTGCCTAGCCTAGTATGTTTTCATGTCTTAGGTTCAAAGGTTTAACCCTCAATACAAAATGCAATAGAGTAAAGGCTCAATAGAGGACCATGCATCATTCTAAATCTAAAAAGAATGAACTCTTTCTTCAAGTAGGAGGTTATAGAAGATGATGGAAATATGAAAAAGCTGGGTACTTCTACAATAGGAACTCAGGGCTGGAGAGATGGCTCAGAGGTTAAGAGCACTGAATGTTCTTCCAGAGGACCGAGGTTCAATTCCCAGCACCCACCTGGCAGCTTACAACTGTCTATAACTCCAATATTGAACACCCTCACACAGACATACATGCAGGAAAAACGCCAAATGCACATAAAATAAAAATAAGTAAAAAAACAGGACACTTAGTTGGTAGAGCATGTGGCTGCTGAGCACAGAGCCCTGGCTTACCCTATAGCACCATATAAAGTAGATACCAGCACAAACCTGTAATCTTAGTGCTCAGGAGGTAGAGGCAGGAGAACCACAACCCCAGGAGCACCCTTGCTATATAAGAGCACAAGGACACCCCGATACAGACTGTCTGCTAAATTAATCAACGTAACAACACATTAACTAGTTTGTTATTGTTTGTCTCATATAACCAAGACTGACTTTGAGTGGCCAAAGATAACCTAAATTTGTGATCCCCTGCCTCTACTTCCCAAGAGCTGGAATTACAGCCTGCACCACCAAGCCCAGTTAAATCAGGAAATTATTCTTTCTTTATGTGTCTGTACAATTTGTATGCATACGTGTGCAAGCACACTTGGGCACAAGCATGGCATGGTATGCATGTGAAGGTCAAAGGTCAACCTCCGGTATCAGTTCCCACCTACTTCGGTTGAGACAGGGTCTCTTGGGTTTGCTTTTCCCCCACTGCATGCCAGCTGGCCTCGGGTTTCTGGCGATTCTGTGTCAGCCTTCATCTCCCCACACTGTAAGCACTGGCTTACAATAGTATGCGTACCAGATCTGGCTTTATGTTGGTTCTGGGTGTCCCAACTCGGGTCCTCAAGTGCTTTACCTGCTCAGTGACCTCCCTCAGTGCAAGCAGGGGACTCTTAAAATTAGAAGCCATATTTATTTTTATTTTTTTGAAGCAAGGTCTCGTGGTTGTTGCCAAGGTTGGCCAGAAGCTCAATATATGACTAAGAATGATCTTGAGCTTCTGGCCTTGGACCTCTGAGCCTCCCCTCTGCTTTGCTCAGACTAGGCAAGCACTCCACCCTCACCCCTCAGAACACATATTTAAATCTCAGCATCTTACCTTCTGATGTCTCTTTAAATTTATCACTACTTTTTTTTTTCCTCCATTTCCACGGCTTGAAGATCTTGCCAAAACCTGAGAACTTGCTTTTTCTTTTGGTGGGAGGTGTTGTGTCTCCTGCTTCCACACTGTCCATGACCATGCCTGGGTCTCCAGAGGGCTGCTCTGCTTCTTCTGTACATGGAGGGGAGCAGAAAGAAACAGCCAATTATTATTTCTATATAATCTCTAAAAATGTCCCTCTCTTCCTGTGGCAGTTAGATAGGATCTGGGCAATGATAAGTAATCATGCAAACAAGTCACTCTGGCGTTCGCATGGCCCAAACTCCTAACTTCAATCACTGGCGGAGCCAAAGCAACCCGCCATCATTTAAGAGAAAAATTCAGTGAGACGATGACTGCCGCCAGGTCAACAATGAAGATGTCTTCTCCATATGCATGAGTTCATTATCCCTGAAACAGGGAATCCCACCACTAAGGAGTCACTGTTAACTACTACCCATGCCACCAGTTTCCAGGATTTCCAGTTCAGGGAAGGGTACTTCATCAAGTGTTGACAGCTTGGATCTGTTTATCAGATTTCCCCGCAAAGAGGACTCTGCATAACTGTGGAAGACTGGGAGGAGGCTAAGGCGGGGCAGGGGCATTAGCGAGAAGATGTTTGAAATGAAGGGAAATAGGGGAGAACAGAGGTAAAATTCTACTTTGCCATCATCTTATTACTTAGAGAAAACCCTGATATTGGGGATTTGACACAAAACATAGATGACACAGTACAAGTTCAGGACTGAGATCAAAGGTCTTGAGGGCCTCATAATGACAACATGTGCAGGCCTTTAATGGCAGCAAAAGGCGCAGCCAAGGGGCGGGGCAGGAAGGCAAAAAAAAAAAAAAAAAAAAAAAAAAAAGGCAGGAAAGCAACACAATGCAGCCTTCACTCCACCTACAGTCTCAGAGTTCTCTGGAGAAGTCTAAAGGAAAGAAAAGGCTCTTGGACTCACTCCTGGAATCAAGCTGCAATGCTACTTCACAGAAATACATCAATACACACATTTGTAAACTATTTCATATTAGAAGCAAACAATGTATGGGGGCAAGAGTTTAACACATGTACTGCAAAAAAAATCTCCTTTTAACACTGTAGGTTTGTGTTATTATTACTTTTCAATTACTGCCCCCCCCCCAAACACACACAGGTTTTCTCAATGTAGCCTTAGCTAGCTGTCCGGAAACTCACTCTGTACACCAGGCTGGCCTCAAACTCAAGAGATCCTCCTGCCTTTGCCTCCCAAGTGCTGGGATTAAAGGTGTGCACCACCACTGTCTGGCAGAAACAGAGTTTTCTCTGCTTCTCTCTTAATATGTACCTAATTTTGTCAAACGGTTTAGAAGAACAGAACCTTGCTTCATGCAGTGGGTGAAGCCACACCCACCCCTGTACTTTATAGTTTCCAATTGGTTCATCCATATTAATGTTTATCTATTCATCCACCTATTCTTTGTATTCTTATTTTTGCTTGTTTTATGTGACAGGATCACATAGCCCAGGTTGGCTTTGAATTCATTTATAGCTGAGGATGACCTTAAACTCCTGATCCTCCTGATCTTCCCCTCAAACGCAGGGTTACAGGTGTGAACTACCACATCCGGCCTCACTCAGATTTCTATTCCTCCTCCTAGCCCCTCCCAGTCTCAATGACAAACGGCATATTATTTCGGTGACTCACACGTCTGCCCAACTATTTAGAATCAGCCCGACTGCCTTTATAATATACAGGATCTCCAGGAAGTGGGGCCACGAGTCCTTTGAAAAACTCTCCAGCCAGGTGTGATGGCATCCACCTATAATCACCCAGGAGGCTCCAGAGTGAAACCCTGTCTCAAAAGAACAAGGGCAGGGCTGCAACTCTTGAGTGAGTGTGGCACTGGCATAAGCTCTGCGTGCAGCCGAGAAAAGAAAGACTCAGGGGTCTCAGGTCCACCAAGTTTGTTACCCCAGCCCCACATTAAGACCTGGAACCTTCACACATGTTAAGAGAGACAGGCAGACATTTTCTGTCTCAAGCCTATGCCTTTGTTGAAGAGGCTGGAAGATGCTATGTTGCAGTGCTTCTGCTCTGCAAGGCGCTCCCCTCCCCGGGGGGGGGGGGGAGCACCCTTGCCCCTGTGCCTCCTAGCCTCACCCACACACAGTTCAATTAAAAGGAAGCAGAGACTTGTTTTGTTTGTTTGAGGTTTCTGTTTATTTTTTGATACAGGGTCTCTCTGTATAGTCCTGGCTATCTTAAAATTCTATGTAGATCAGTGGTTCTCAACCCCTTTGGAGGGGTCAAATGACCCTTTCACAGGGATCACCTAAGACTATCAGAAAGCATAGGTATTTACATTACAACTCATAACCAGTAGCAAAATTAGTTACGAAATAGCAACAAAATTAACTTTATGGTTGGGGGTCATATTAAAGAACCAAAGCATTAGGAAGGTTGAGGACCACTGATGTAGATCAAGCTTGTCTCAAACTCACAAGAACCCAGGTTTGAGTTCCAGCACCTACATGTTGGCTCACAACCATGTACAACTAGTTTCAGAGATCAGATGTCCTCTTCTGACCTTCATACGCAGGCACATACACATCGTGTGCATACATACATACATACATACATACATACATACATACATGGAAAACATACATACACATACAACAAAATAGATAATTTAAAAAAAATAATAAAAAGTGTATCATGAGTAGGACCCAAGGGCTCACACTTAAGATGCCAGTACTGCCACTATGGGAATTGAGGCTAGAGGATTACAAGTTTGAGGGCAGCATGGGCTATGTATATGGCAAAGGTTGTCTCAAAACACACAACCCTAAAATGATATACATTATGTAGTGGTTGGGTGTAGTGTAGTGTTCCAAATATTCCAATCAGGTCAAATTGGTTCATTGTGTTACACAATCATTAACACCCTGTCTGGTGTTCTGTCTGTTTGCTCCATTAGCTGTTGGGAGAAGCAGAGTAACATCTCTAGCTATTAAAGTTACTGTGACAAGATCTGTTAAATAAATATAAATTTAAGTTACGTTTTCCTCTTTTAAAACAATTTTAAGAACCAGGCAGTGGTGGCACACACCTTTGATCCCAGAGCTCAGGAAGCAGAGGCAGGCAGATCTCTGTGAGTTCCAGACCAGCCAGGGCTACACAAAGAAACCCTGTCTGGGACAAAAAAAAAAAAAAAAAACGTTTTAAGAAATTAATATGCACAGGTATTTTACTTTAAGTCTGTGCACCATGTGTTTACCTGGTGCCTGTGGGGGTTAGATAGAGGGCATTGGGTCCCCTAGGACTGAAGTTGCAGATAGCTGTGAGCCCCCATGTGGGAGTTGGGAATTGAATCCTGGCCGTCTGGAAGAGCAGCCAGTGCTCTTAACCCCTTTAATAAAAATTTAAAGCTATGTATGTGTATATGCGCATATGTGGTAGTATAGGTACCTGCAGAATACAGAGGAAGGTATCATATCCCCTGGAGCTGTAATAATAGAAAGTTGTGAGCCACTTAATCTGAATGCTTTAGAACCAAATTTGGGTCCTCTGCAAGAGCAGTACACTCTTAGCATGGAGTCATTTCTCTAGCCCAGATCGTTTCCTCTTCAATGGATCCTTTTAATTTAGAAGAAAATTACTATATCATTGTAGAAATACTTTTACCTCTATTTTGTTTTCCTATTTTGTTTGACAACTGTCTTTTGGCCCCTTGAAACAAGGTCTAGGCTGGCTTCAAACTCAAGCTCCTCCTCTCAGCTTCTCAGGCATCACAGGTATGAAGTGCCACACCTAGTCAACCATCTTTAACTGGAGCACTTAACCCACCTATGTTTAATATTTCCACTGTCAGTATGGCTTTAGTTCTGTCGTTTGTATTTGTCTTGTCTTCTATAGCCTTATTAATCTATGTAGGTTTAGACCTTTACTGCTTCCTGAACAAAAAGACTCTAAATCTTCTGGGCTCTGTCACAAATTTCACATCTACATATATGTAACAATACACCACAGAAAATCCTTTATTGTTTTAACAAACAATACTGTTATATTTTCTATATATTATTTATGAACTCTTCACTTCTCTCTGTAATTGTCTGCATCAAGAAAAATTTTATTTATTTATGAAGATATTTTCAGTTGTACTTTTTTGGTTTTGTTTGTTCATTTAATAGACTTTGGAGACTAGAGTCTCATGTGGCTGAAGTTGGCCTTGAACCCCAGAATCCTTTGTTTCAACCTTCCAAACACCAGGATTACAGGCATATACTACCTTTTTCATTCATTCTTTTTTTTTTTTTTTTTTTTTTTTCCTGTTAAACCTGAGGCCCTGCATTTGACAGTCCAGTGGCCCAGGGGTTCTGATGCCTTCCCCTGGCCTCTTTGGATGACAGACACACAAAGGTAGACAAATATATATTCAGACAAAACATATATACACATAAAATTTTTTAGATTAATTTGTGGCAAAATGGAGACATATACCAAAATCTTTCTAATTTCAAAGTCTATGGGCACCTTTTCTACCATACTGCTTTATTTATTTATCTACCTATTTATTTATTTTGGGTTTTTTTGTTGTTGTTGTTTCTCCTGATCCTTATTAATCCTCATTAGTAATACACATCTGTAATCCCAGCATTTGAGAGACCAAATTAAGATCAAATGTCCAAGTCCATCTGGGGTATATAAAACCATATCTCAAAAAAACAAAACACAACTAACAGCAACAAGACACACACCAAAATGCAATTTTCATAAATGATATACAATTCTTGTTCTCACAACTACCTACACAACTACTATTAATCTCAAATGCTATTTAATAGCAAATTTTATAAAGAGGCTGAAAACATGGCTTAGCAGGTAGAGGCCTTTGCTGGTAAGTCTGACGACCTGAGTTTGATCCCTGGGACCTGCATGGTAGGAGAGAACAGACAGACTCCTGTAAGTTGTCCTCTGGAGGACCTTTACATGCACAACATGCACGGTGCACACAGACATACAGAAATAAATAATGTTTATTGAATAATTTTTAATTGAAAAGTCTAAATTATAAATTTAGATTCAAATCAAATCTCTTTACAAACTATTTGTCCTCCAGTTACAAGTCATTCAAATGTCCTGTGATAC